TACACCCCCCGATAGATTAAGAAGCAATAGGGAAAAGTAGATGGAGGCTTTTGGTCACCTTCCACCACTGCAAGAAGGGTCGCGTCTAGACGCAAAGTTCTCTTACCTCGTAGGTGTGCATAGTTGCACTAGCTTCGGAGACGCACACGTCACCTACTCCATCACCAATATGGAAAGGTGTTGCGTGTCCGCCTCGTAGTCGCCTCCTAGGATAGGAGATTGCCGGTATCCCAACAACCTTCTAGGAGGGGGATAACCTGTAGCGCACCTTCCTGGCACCAAAATTCAACTAGTGCTTAAGTAAATATATTGAATTAAATTAACTAAATAAACCTCTAGCTCGCCTCCGGATGCTTACGGTGTTTTAAGTTTTGTTTCGACGAGCATGCATTCGAGCAGGCTTGGACGCCACGCACCTACTCAGGGTCCATAGTTCAGCCTTACAAGCCAGATAAGTTGATTAAACTTTTTCCCCATCCATTACTATTATATCTACCTTAATTAAATACATTGCTTCTTCAAATATATTCCCATATCAGTTCTTTTGATTTGTGTTTTGTTATCAGTACTTACACGTTAGGTAAAGTACTGGTTAAGCAGGTACTAGAGCACATCAGGTTAAGTAGGGTTGATCAAACGTTACGGAATGCTTACACGCATCTTTACAATGTCATCAGTTGACACTGGTTCTTTTAGTAGGCTTAAAATCAATGTAAAGCTCATTTTTGGCAGTTTCAACTGCCGTACTAATTGGTACACTAGTTTAAAGGCTTGTAACATCAAAAATAATAAAACAGTTTTCATCCACCTCCATGTATAAACCGTCTAATTTTTGCTTTATTTCATAAAGATTGCTTAGTCTACAGTTTGGTTGACGTCTAATCGGGCATAGTATCGAACCTAAGTGTTTGCGTTCCTGGTTGCAATCCCGATTGTACCTCTGAGTTTGGAAGATGTTGCAGTCTAGGATGAATTGTCTAGCTTTTGGTGATTTTGCACCTATAGGTGGTAAAAGACTATAGGTCTCACGTGTTGAATAGAAGTTCGTAGTGTATCTCAATGCTCAGTGTGCGTTAGTATGGTCCGTCATCATAATCTGCATACAGGGTGAGAAAGAGAAACATAGAGGTGTGAGAACTAGAGTTAGTCGCCTTAGAATTTGGGGAAGCAATATTGAAGGCCAGAGTTCCTAAAGAGGACACGAGGAATAAAGGGCCATATAGTTCTACATTTTGCTTGTGGAATACCCTCGATGTTTTATGTAGTACATTTCTCACGTCCTAGTTTCAGCGATATTACAAATGCTTAAAGATGGTGACTCTGTATGCACTTGAGTACCGGTAAGAGCTTTGATGTGCACATACAGGTTTGGGGAAAGATGGTTGCTACAGTCTTAAGGGAAGAGAGGGTGAAGGGCATATGTTGGTCTGACGACCTCAGATAAGGGTGGTTTCCATAAGTCCCCACCATCAGATCTTCCATCTCGTGTTGCCAAGCATTCCCGCATTATCTTACTCCATCACTACTTTACCTGTGCCACGTTCCATAAGCATCTCTTATGACTTATTGGCTGCAACTGAGAAGCAGGTAATAAATACAAACAACCACAAAACGCAAGTAGTAACGTTGGTGACCCTCAAATTTTTCCTCTTTGCTGCACTTGACAGGCTAACAATCTGCCTTCTTTCCTCTTTTGCATCCTCAGATCTTTTAACTGTAAACTGGAGGTCCGAAATGCGGGGAATTAAACCTGAATTTCCTATAATTTTCGAGTTCCTGCTTATTAAGCATATGTTAAAATATACCTTTCATTTACAACACGTGAATTTTTAATGTCTTCCGTGGGATGTTGGTTGCAGGCACCCTTTGAGGGGGAATGAACTATCCGACTGCTTGCCTTAGTTAGCGCAACCCAACAGCCTGTAGGTTGGAAGTGTATTTCTATTCGAAATGAATGCATACTAGGCGACTAATAAACTGAATTTTTGTAGATAACATACCGGCAGAAAGTTTACATTGCCCGCATGGCCGAAGGATATGCGTGCAAATAAGAATTTATTGGGTAATAACGGGAGTCGCCAATGATACTTTAATGATGTTTGCATTACTCACCTTCTACTGCCAGGATGGCTGGAGTCTTGAATGCTACTTTCGCCCCTCTATGACTTCGGTAGGAGCGAAAATCACGGGAACTCTCCAAAGATGATCTCCACGCGCCTCCAAGATTCTGTGCATTCTAGGGCGACTTGCCCAGTTAATAAAAAAGTGGAAAATTTTCAATAACGACCATTTGATTCAGTATGATTACATTACCTGAGGTTTACAAGAACTCTGCATAGTATGGTTAAGTGAAACTTACACCAGGGTGTATACTGGCGATCTGGCCAACGTGAGGGGAAGAGTTTTTGTAATGGTGGCGTGACTCATTTATTTACAAGTTATTCTTCGAACACAGTGCATGCAGCCACGGTATTTTACTAACACTACTAACGTAGTTTTTAAAATGATCAGTACTACCCTATTTATCGCGATTATCACTAACACTACTTCGATCCTCATCCTAAATATCATCACTATGCATAGTTAATGATGATTGGATACGCCATCATAATCTGTACTTGGGACTTATGAAACTTCGTTTACGACACGTGATATTTGCTGAATTCCTGAGAATTTTGTTTCTACCAGCAGCTCTCCTTCCCCACAATCTCTACATAGCGATTAAGCCCACCCTTCTGCCCAACTACCACTATAGGTGATAATGTACGTTAAAGCGGCAGGTTTTCATGTTCATCTTAAGAGGTGATCGTACTAAACATCATCCAACATGAACCACAAGTCTGCAGAGAATAGGTTATCCGTACATTTCTGTAAATTATCCCTCACCAGAAATCCACTCCATAATGTACTGCACCGTCATGGCTACAGGAAACTTCTGAGAAAAACCGCAGGCAATTTCAGGCTTAGTGTGCAGCGAAAATTTGGTCTAAGACATCACAGATAAACTATTTCGAATCATGTCTGAGCCGCCTTGGTCCTGGAACATTTAGTCCTCGGGATGTCTTATATGGCACTACTCCACTCTGCATTACATCAAGCACCTGGTTGGGCTCATAGACAGGTCCCCTAATAGTGCTACCGACCGTAAGGAAATGGTTATGAAAGCAGTCTTGGCTACAACCTTTGTGAATTCCGACTCCATAACCATCATCAACGACTCCAGCAGTTCGTCTTTCCTTCTTTGAGATCTGAGGGACGCACCACCAGGCCATTCAGTTAGAAGCTGAAGAGTGTAACCGAGATGGTTAGTCTCAGAGAAGATCAGAGTTTTAGAACTTTGGGGGCCGAACGGCAAGGTACACGCTAAGAAAACTCTTTGGCAAATGGTGTTCTTCTCAGTAAGAGTGTGTGTTCGCCGCCCCTTGACCTCTGTAATCGTGCAGTGATAACTTTTGCCATGGCAACTAGGGATGGTTTACAACCGGATATGCCGAACGCCGTCCTTTGGCACAGTAAAGTCAATTATGACACTGTGACCGACAGACTGCACCCATCTTAAAAGAAGCGAACGCTGGACACAGGTGAGGAAAATGATCTTTGAGGCTACCCATCACAGTGTGCCAGGGGTAACACCGGGCTTCAGGGAGGACCTCAAGACCAAACAGGGAACAGGTGGGCAGCTTCGGGCCAAAGGGCGAACTTGGTCAAGTGGCATTCATCACTCATGGATTCCGACATCCTAATCTACAAAAGAGTTCTCAACCGGCGCAACATAAGAACTTGTAGTGACAGGCATAACCATCAAAAATGCCTAATGACGAAGTTATAAGGCATCCTGAAAAGCCTGCACCGCCTCACACCACAGAAAAAGGTTACTAGCGAAGGCGTTAACCCCATCACAAGTTTCAAGAGAGATGTACCAAACAGTTTAAAAATATCTGAGCTCCTGAGCTCACATTCTGGAGTGCAGTTTAGTACATATGATGCCAAATCTGCACCAATGCGATGTGACACTGATAAGACCATACGTCCCATTCCTATCACACAGAAGAGTGCATCGGATAAACTATCCAGGCTTCATCCAAGCAAGGCCTCTTGAAGGAAAGACTGGAGACGAGCAACCTTAAGGAACTGCGCCAAGATACTCTTGAGATCCATCTGAGATCTCTTCAGAAACTGGCTACAGCCGTACGAGATTCCTAACCTGTGGAATTACAATGTCCTGTAGCGCATTTTCAAGGAGGAGACAGAAGAGTCCTGGTGACCAGACCCACTTCCCTACTACCCATGCCATCCAGGGCACCCAAAAGCCTGATAGCAGACGAGTTCCGGAAACTGCCAGCCATAGGAGATACCGTTTATATCAG